AACAAGTGGCCATCTAACTGAGAAACAACAAAGCCCACATGGAAGAAGCACACCAGCCTGTGTGATCACAAGGAGTTGAAGGAATCAGGTCTCAGGCATCAAAGACCCCCCTCAAAAAAGATCATAGCATTGTGAATGAGGGGGAGTGCAACATGGGGACCCAGGGCCCATCTGGGGGAAATTGAACATCTCCTTGCAAAAGGGCAGCAGGGAGGAGATGAGCCAGTCAGGGTGCAGTGTAGCAATGATGAAACATGACTTTCCTCTAGTTCTTGAATGCTTCCTCCCCCCCATTTTCATAGTCTTTTGGTTTTTGATGTGTGTGTTGTATTGCTATACATTGTCTTCTGAGCACTGTCTTGCTGGGTCTCAACAGTTTGGGTGTGCAGTGTTTTCATTCTCATTTGATTTAAGGGGTTTATTTATTTATTTATTCCTTCATTTTAAAACGTATTCTGTTGCCCAGTAGTTTTCAAGTGGCTGTTATTCAGTTTCCATATATTTAACTTCTTTCCCCCTTTATCTTTTGCTGGTCTCTCTACTTTTGTTAATATTATGATCTGCACAGGTGTTTTGTGATATAACCATGTTGTTACGTTCATTCAGGCTTGCTTTGTGGTCTAGTATGTCACCTATTCTGGAGACTGTTCTATGTCCAATGGGAAAGAATGTGTATTGTGTAGCTGTTGAGTAGTGTGTACCGGATGAGTATATGTCTATGAGGTCAAGAGATGAACTGTATTGTTTATCCTGTGTCTGTGCTGCGTTTCTTTCAAGTTATTCTGCCTGTCATAGAAATTAGTGTATTAAAATTTCCTACCATTATAGTGAGGAGCCCTGATGGCATGGTGGGTTTGGTTACACAATCAGCTGTTAACTGCAAAGTTAGCAGTTCAAAACCATCAGCAGCTCCGTGGGAGAAAGATGAACCATTCTGCTCAACTAACGGTTTACACTCTCTGAAAGCTGCAATGTGGCAGCTATAATTTGTTTCACAAGAGGGCTGAGTCAGAATTGATTCAATGACAATGAGTTTGAAGGGATTTTTTTTAAAAAGACTTATGATAGAGTTGCTTATAGATCTCTTCAATACTGTAAGATTTTGCTGTATGCATTTTGAAGCTTTTTCACTGCGTGCATAAGAAGCCCTGGTGGCACTGTCAGGTAAGCATTGGACACCTCACAACGAGGTCATCAGTTCAAAGCCACCGGTTAATTCATGGAAGAAAGATGAGTTGCTCTATTCTCATAAAGATTTACAGCCTCTTTTGAAAATGATGATGGCAACAAATGTACAAATGTGCTTGACACAATGGGTAGATGTATGGATTGTGATGAGTTGTATGAGCCCCCAATAAAATGATTTATATATTAAAAAAAGATCTACAGCCTCAGAAACCCTGTATAGGACCATTATAAGTTGGAATTGACTCAATGTCAGTGGGTTTGGATGTATTTTTTGTTTTGTACATTACATACATAGATATTTATTATGACGCTGCCCTCTTATTCAATTGACAATTTAATCATTGTATAATGTCCTTCCTTATCACTGATGCTGCCTTTTGCTTTAAAATCTACCTTATTAGTTTAATAAGGCCCATCTTGCTCTGTTTTGATTGCCATTTGCTTGTATATATATATATATATATGTGTGTGTGTGTGTGTGTGTGTGTGTTTCATCCTTTGTTTATAGTGTATATTTGTATTTGTGTCTAAAGTGTGTCACTTGTACACATCATATTGATGGGTCCTATTTTGTTTTTGTTGTTTTTTATTAAGTATCAGTGCCCTCTACCAGCCAATCAGGTCATGGGTAGTGGGGCGTGGCAGGATGCTGGTTCTAGGTGATGTTCCTGTTGTCCTAGAAGATGTCTGGGGTCAGGATACCTGGTCCCAGTATGTGTTTCTTCCAGTTTAGGGTACTTGGTCCTGGAAGGAGTTCCTGCCCACCCAAGGGTGGATGGGGGGCAATGGTCCATCCAGTACTGCACATGCAGCTGGTCCACAGAGACAAGGAGTTTACACCTCTAAACCTGGGGCGGGATACACCCAGCCCCCAACCCAAGAGGGCACACCTTCAATCTCTGCTGAAACAAGAGCTGTGCAGTGTGTCACTGGCTGCTGGGTAATTGAGAGTGGGGGCTGGCCATACTTCTGGTTACTTGGCGGGTGTAGAGAGCAAGGGAAAGATTGCATCTTTCTAGTTGCCAACTTCCAATTTGGGTGCTTGTGCAATCCTGGACAAACAGAGTTGATTATCAAATCAATGCCTTGAGTCAATGCTTCTTGTAAATGTTCAAAATGGTTGCTTTGTGCTAGACCAGCTGACCACTCACCCACTCTGCCTCCTCCCCCCCAGCCCCATTCAGCTTATTCTCCTAGCAGATATGTGATCCCATTCTCCATGCTTTCCTCTGCAGCTCAGGGTTTCAGTTTTATTGCCTGTATCGATTTCATTTGCTCTCTTGTGCTTTTGTTATAGAGAAAACCTAGGTAGCCCAGCTGCCTATTTGCCATCTTGTTAGAAGTCTTTTCTTTCTTCTATTTTGAGAAATTTTCCTACTATAATTGTCTAGTCTAGAGTTTATTTGATCTGTTCAGAATTTTTGTTTGTTTTCCGTTTTTGGTTACACATTGGGCTGTTAACCAAAAAGTCAGCAGTTCAAAACCACTAGTTGCTGCGTGGGAGAAAGATAGGGCTTTTTACTATCTGTGATCATCACAGGACTCGCAAGGGCTGTTCCATCAGAACGGACTCAATAGCAGTGA